ATAACACTGCACTAGTATATCTCATTCTCTTTAAATTCATTAAATTCATTAATCAGGTTTCACAACAAGGGCAGACTATTTGTTTGAGCGGTTTCGCTGGTATAGACGTGCCTCCCCCAGCTGGCCCCTTATGGATTCTGGGGGACGTTTTCATTGGTCGATTTTACACCGAGTTCGATCTGGAAAACAACCGAGTTGGATTCACCAATGTTGTCAACCTGTCAGACGCATAATAGTCGTCTATTGCATATAACAAATACCTTATATAGAATTATGTTTAGAATTAAAAATATAAATTTCATGATCATCTGTCAGCTATCTTGTGTAATAAAATTATTTATTTTACGAGTTATTCGTCTTTTTTTTTTCTTCAAATCTGCAGTCGTGTACCTCACTTTAAAAAAAAATCCACGTATTCTACCAGCTACACCACTGGAGGGCTAAAAATACGCCGTATTAAGGTACTCCATCTCAAAATGTTAATATTAACAATTTATTTCTTACACTTCTACATGTTTTTAATGTATTTTTAAGCTGTCATACCGGGATGTGAACCTAGTACATTCCACACGACTGTTTTTAAGATTTTAAAAGTTTTTTCATGTATTTCTATGTAAAACTTTGATCGTCCATTGTGGCCACACCCTACCCAATGGGGTCATGATTTGAACAAATTTGAATATATATTATTTGTGGATGATGCTTCCATATAAAGCTTTGATGTTCTTGGAGAAGATTTTTACAGATTCTTTCTTATGTATTTCGATAAAAAATTTCGATTGCTCATTGTGGCCCCACCCTACCGCCAGGGATCATGCTATGAATAACCTGAGGATGCTTACATATAGATAAGATTAATCATGGCTTTTCTATTCTTGAGAAGACGATTTTAGAAGATTTCTCCTATTTATACACATGTAAAAGTTTGTTCGCCCATAATGGCCCCACCTTACCGCCAGGGATCATGATTTGAACAAACTTGAACCAGGAAGCTTTCAAATAATTTTTAAATGACCCCACCTAATTTTAACTTTTTAGCCCACCTGAGCTGAAAGATCAGGTGAGCTTTTCTGATCACATTTTGTATGTAGTCAGTCTAGCTGTCCGTCCGTCTGTAAACTTTTCATACTAAACTGCTGTTTGTGCTTTTTCCTAGCCAATGTTCTCAGGTGACTGATGTGGCCCATGGGCCTCTTGTTCTTAATTTTCTCCCCTTGAAAGAGTGCGTGGCCCTTCATTTGAACAAACTTGTATCCCTTTTACCCAAAGATACTTTGTGCCAAGTTTGGTTGAAATTGGCCCAGTTGTTTTTGAGAAGAAGATGAAATTGTAAAACGTTAACGACAATGCTGATGACAAAAACAGACAACAATATATATATATATATATATATATATATATATATATATATATATATATATATATATATATATATATATATATATATATATATATATATATATATATATATATATATATATATATATATATATATATATATATATATATTTATTTATTTATTTATTTATTTATTTAAGGAATGAATTTAATAGCTACCCAAGTTATACTGGTATAACCTGGATTGGGACAGTTTACGCTTAATATTTTAAGAAATAATGTATCATTTTTAAACATCTATCGGGATATAAATACTGGTTGGTCACGAGATCAAATTCCATAAAGCCCGAAGGGCTTTAAAAAAGCGTAAACTGTTTCAACCCAGGTTATACCAGTATAACTTGGGTAGCTATTAAATTCATTCCTTATAATTTAATTTTTCATCATTAAGTGTAGAAAATAAGACAATTTCTCCAAAAATGTTTTCAAATTGTACATAAATGTAACGTCAAGCGGATTGATACGTTTTTGACGTAAGTCATTGTGACGTAGGCAACCCAGGTTATACAATTCTAATTTTTTCATCCAATCAAATGATGCGTTACAATCAAAATTAAATTATTTATATATATATATATATATATATATATATATATATATATATATATATATATATATATATATATATATATATATATATATATATATATATATATATCAGGGATGGGGTAATTGATAAGAGTAATTGTAACTGAGTGTAATTAATTACATTTTTCAAAGTAATTGGAAGTAATTTGTATAAATCGCCATTTTTTCAATTACTTGTAATTGAATATAATTAATTACTGTGAAAAAAAAATACCCTGTAATTTCAATTACTTTTCAACTACTTTACATAATACGTATTATGTGTATTTAAAAGGAAAATATTTCCAACGCAGTCACATTTTACAGTTATTTTAGTTTATTCAAAGAAGCCCTTCTGTTTTTCAAAAATCTTGAACTCTTTTATAAATATCTCAATAAATGAATTTGATACTTCGGCTTGTTTGTAAAAATATTAGTCCGTTTTATAATTATAATGCACATAAAGAATTAATACTGGTTTAATGTTTATCAAAAATTTTGTTCTACCTCTCATTGGTATAGGCATGAAAACATT